TATATATATATATATATATATATATATATATATATATATATATATATGTATATATTATAATTATTAATAAAAAAATCTCAAACTAATTTAATATATAAAATGAATAAAAATGTTAATTATTATTACTTTCATTTTTAAAAAAAAAAAGAATATTTTGAATAAAAATATATGAAATGAACAAACGTTTTTAATAAACGTTTATATTAGTCAATAATATGTTAATTTCATGATAAAGTTGAGAAAGGGGAAGCTGTACACCCAAAGGAATGGCTTGTCTCTTTTCTGTCCGACCCCTCGACGCTCAGTCAATTGTCGGCTATTTTGTATCGGCAATGTTCGACAATATTCGGTTATGTTCGGATATCCCCGCTATAGTTACATGCGCCGATAGCGTGTATACTGTCGCATGCACTATATATATGTATATATATATATAGTACCTCACATGCAACGATCGGCATCCAATAGCACATAGAGTTGCAACCAGGAATGTAAAAATAATAGGTGCAATATCTTATCTATTTTTATATTACTAATTTATGCAAAATATTTTTGATAAACAGTACATATTTTTTTATAAAAATATTTTATAGTTCTTTTATATTAATGATCCAAAAAAAGAAAATCTTTCAATTTTAAAATAGATATATTTGTTTTTTAATATTATTAAAAAATATTGCATGGAAAATTTTAGTTTTAAATATATCAAATTAATATAAACTATAAAAAAGAAATTAATTAATATAATAGAAAAACTAGTAAAACTACAACTTATTGAATTTGGCCAAAATAAGAAAATATAAAATCTAAAAGTAATAAAATAAATTAATAGGACCTAATTTATGTACGGTCCTGATGTGAAAAGCAAAGGTGCGTGCGCAGCTTTTATGATCCACAGACAAGACAAAGACAAATAGTTAGAATAAGAACGAAGGAGATGGCAGTGCTTTCGGTATTATGTATATGAGAACTGCGCGTATGAAACACTCCGAACTTGTGCGTGTTTATATAAAAATAAGTTCACTTGTATCTAATACATGTGTGTAAAAGTGATACTGCTTCGTTCTCGTTTACTACCGAATAAGTAGGTGTGATAGAATAAAAAAAAAAGAGTAAAATAGAAACAATTGTCTATACACAGAACGTGTGTTAAGTCGTAGACGTACGCATCAAAAGTTGTGGAATCGACGTGTCGTTAAAGTGAACTTGACGAGGTGAAATGCGAGTGTATCTGTCTGTCTGGCCGCAGCACTGGTACGACGTGTTCGTGACGTGTGACTGATAGAAAATACAGTAATGTCCGCTTAACTGTTGTACGCTTGGATCTGTATCACGGACAGTTACTTGGGATGGTAGGTGTTCTAAGAATTGTCGATTATTGTCTCTTTCGAGTTTTTTTGATTCTTTAGAAAGTAAAATTTTAATAATTATTATACGATATATTATATATTTAGATTTATTCATATAATTTATTAAAATATAAATATAAATATGAAAATATGATATAAAATTTGTTGAAAAATATTTTAAAAGTTTAAATTAACGTAACAAACTATAAAGTGAACGTTATAAAAATTCTATTTTTCTTATTTTGATTAAGAATCTTATTATTATTTAAAATAACGCTGATCATGAATTAAAAATAATACGAACACTGGCTTTGTAAAGCAATTTAAAAATTAATAGAGAAAATCAATAGTCAAGCGATAATTAAGTGGACATTATTGTAATTCTTCATTTTGATTATTTTCTTTTTTTTTTTTTGTTAAAACAAGTGTGTATATTTTCCTGATATTTCTTTGAAAAGCTGAAAATCTTTACGATTACATTCAATTTTTTTTGTATACACCGCATATTATTTTAGATATATTTTAAATATTTAAAAAATGGACAAAATAATAATGATAATACAAAGTTCCATTCTTTAACATTACTTCTTTTATACAAGTGCGCTTCTTTCTACGGCCTCGATGTTAACAATCACCGCTCTACTTAGAGAGTACACTCATACATATCGGCGATACCTCGCCCTCTGTCGGCATTAAATTGTAATATTCTCTCAAGTTCTTCCTTTTCCCCGTCGAGCGGAACTAACGACGGTGTCGGACATTACTATCTGTGGAACGAAACTGTGGTTCTGTTTACACTGGAAAAATTGACAGTCTTCGAGGATGTACGCGAAGGGGAAGGGGTCCACAGTACCCTCTGATTCTCAAGCAAGAGAAAAGTACGTATTATTTTGTATAATAATGTATATATTTCTATATTGAAAAAGATAAAACTTGTTAAAGAAAAAATTTGCCGATTGATCGACCAGTGACTCCATTTTTTTTCTTTATACCAAGCGTGCGTATAGGTATTAGTTAGTACGAAAGAGAATTGAATTTGTCAAATAATTCCAATTTACCGATTATAATATTCATGAACTTTATATTCATGAATTCTATTATGAAAATAAAAAAAATTGTATCTAATATAAATTAAAATAGAAATATTTAATACATATTTCTATAAAATTTCTTATAATTTATAAAACTATAGTTGATTTAGTTTTAATTTTAAAGAATCATTGTAAAACTTTGATTTTATAAAATTATTTCATATAAAACTTCATAAATCGTATTGTTTACCTGTTTAGTCTTGTTTATTTTCTACTTTCTCGTAAATTTGATTGAACTATATGCTATGACTCACTAGAGTTACTTGTCTGGCAAAGCATTGGACGCCATGTTTTTATCGTTTGCAACCAAGAAATATATAATTTATGCAAAATTAGTATAATAACACTCTGCAAGATTGCATTGTTTTGTTTATATAATGATATAGAAAATAAGATTTTTTTTATGTTAATAATTCAGCTTCTCACTTTTTTTGATATCAAAGTATTTTATTCATTGATATGATATTAAATTTATTATACTTAAAAAATGTATTATTAAATATAATAATAAATATTAAAATTTCTTTTTTAAATATAATATAATATATATATATATTATATTTCGTTAAAATATTGACATTATTATAACATACGTAAATATTTTATTTAAAAATTTTTAAATATATATGAATTTATATATATTGTATTTTTATAAATTTTATAATTCACATATTTAAAAAAAATATTTACTATTTTATATCATTTTTTTAAAGTACAAAATAAAAATTTTATTTAAAAATTTAAATTTAATTTTGTATTTATTTGAGAATTACTTATAATATTTCAGGTTAGCCTTATATGTGTATGAGTATTTATTGCATGTTGGAGCGCAGAAAGCAGCACAGACATTCTTATCAGAGGTAATCATTCAAAATTATTTTTAAAATTCAATAAAAATTACTGACAAAAATTACTATATATTGTTGTTTATATATTATCTTATATATTTATATTTTACTTTATTATATAGATACGATGGGAAAAAAATATCACTCTTGGTGAGCCACCTGGGTTTTTACATTCTTGGTGGTGGTAAGCATTATATAAAGTTTTATATTTTATTGAAAAAAATAAAATAATCTTCTATATAAGAATATTAATTTCTTTCAGAAAATTATAATTTTAATTAATAAATAAATAATCAATTTAATATATTTTAGTGTATTCTGGGATCTGTATTCAGCAGCACCAGAACGACGGGATTCCTGTGAACATAGCAGTGAAGCCAAAGCATTTCATGATTATGTTAGTATAGTTTTGTAATTTAATAAAATTATATATTATTATAAATATTTAAAAATTACAATAAATTCTTTTTTGTCATCAGGGTTTTGTAAACAGTGGTTATGGTGTTAATGGCATTGCTCATGTGAGTATAATATATTTATTATATATTATTTATTTCGTTAGTATTTTAACATAATTTAATTTTATATATTTTCAATTAATCTTAAAATTTAATAGCATATGTAAATAATAGATATTATTATTAGAATTTGCATATAGAGATAATATTAAATTGATATTTTTAATTAAGAATTAAATGTTTGATTGTTAGATAATTATCAAATGATTACAGAATGCTGGTCCAGCTCCTTCTCCTATAGGACAAATGCCTCCTAATGATGGAATGCCTGGTGGTCCAATGCCTCCTGCTTTCTTTCCAGTAAGTTTTTTTATAATTTTATAATATTAAATAATTTTATTTTATTAATTTCATTTCAAATAAATAATTTATATTTGAAAATTCAAAAAATATTTAAATTATTTATGTTCATTTGCATATGTTCATTTTATATATATGTTCATTTATGTATGTGTGTTCATTTATACATATTTGTTAATAAACTATTATGTCTATTTTTCTTAAATATGTAAGCAAGAAGATTTATATAAGTATTTATTTTTGATAACAGACATTATCATTTATATTAGCTACATTTAATAAAAAAAAAATTAATTATGAACTTTCAATTTCTTTTATATGATGTACATACATAATTAATGAATTACTGTTAAACATGCCTTTTATGTCTATGTGTGCGTATACACGTACATGTATATATATTAAGAAGAGGAGAGATAAAAAAATAAAAATATTTTTATCATACACAATTTATATATATATGTAATAATATAATTTAAGAGATAAATTATAAAAAAAATTGTCAAATAATTCATTTTCTAATTCTAAAAAAGATATATATATTAGTATATATATAATATATATACTAATATAGTTTTTTATAATTTTTATTATAAAAAAATTAGATATATTAAACTGTATATAAACACATCACAAGTATTTATATGTATATACATAAATATATATAAATATCTGTTACCATTGTTATGCCTAGTTTCAATTTTCATGCATTATAATTATACACTTGATTCAAAGCTTTTAATATTTTCTTTTGAAAAATTATAGATTGTTATTAATTTACATTGATTATTATATATAGAATATTTAATTTAAATAATCTTTGACTAAATCATTAGTAAATATAATAAATAGTCAACACATGCAATAATAATATATAACATAGAAACATATAATTTATAATATATAATGTATAATGTATAATATATAATTATAATATAAGTATCTATAACAAGTAGTAAAGTTATAATATTTATATTGTTTAAATTTATTTAAACAATTTTGTACACATAACATATATTACTTATATGAAATTTCTTATGCTTTATTCAATTCATGTATAATCAAATATTATTAATACTAACATTTTTACGTATAATACTTGTATGTAATTTCATTCATCTAATTCCTATAAATGTACACAATGTCATTGAAACATACATTAGTTTTGAAACAAGTGTACATTTGGATAAAATTCTCATACCATGCTTGTCTATACTGTATCTATGTACTTATTTTCTCTCTGCTATGTATCTAACACTTGTATGTGCGTTCCTCTACCATTTTCACTTTCTGATCTCCTCTCTGCATAAAGCAGATTTCAAAAATATAACAGAAAAAATTTTGTATAAATATTAGAAAATAGTTTTAGTTTAATAATTTTATTAGTAAGTTTATAATTAATAGTGTTATACCTTGTGCTGACTTTAATTTTGTCCAAGAAATTTACAAATGTTTTAAAATAATATATTATTAAAAATATATTTTAAAATATATTATGAAATATATTTATTTTTTTTATTTTTTCAAATTATTATTTCTAATATTTTTATTCTATTTTAATCTGAGTTCATTAAATGGAAGCATGTATTTACTTTTAGAATAATTA